GGGCCGCTCCTTCCTCCCGCCACTGCCGTGCGCGCGCCCCGCCCGCCATGTCCCCACGCGGCCTCCTCGGCCCACTAGGCGGCGCTCCCCGTTTTCCTCCCTCCCTTTATTTGCCCCCTTCCCCTCCCCTTGCGCGGCCATTTCTGGTCCCCGCAGCCATGGACGTCATCACCCGGCGCTCAGCCCGACGGGCTAGGAAGGAGCGGGGCCTGCGGCGCAGGCGGGAGGCGGGAACGGCGCGCGCCGCCTGGCGGGATGACGCGGGATGACGCGGGACGACGCGGGCGGGCTGGGGGCTGACGCGGGGCGGGCGGGAGGGGCGCTCGGAGCCGAGGACGGCCCGTCGCGGGGCGAGGGCGGGGAAGGGGCGAGGCGCAGAACAGGGAGGGGCGGGTCGCCGGGGAAGGCTGCGCGGGGCGCGGCCGCGGGCTCGCGGGAAGGGCGGGCGCCAGGGGGCGGGCGCCAGGGGGCGGGCGGGAGAGGCGCCGCGCGAGCAGGGGCAGCCGCAGCCCGGCCGTGAGGGCCGCGAGGGCCGAGCCGGGGCGCCGCCTGCGGGCGGGGGGCGGGGGGCGCCGGCGAGAGTCTGGGGGAAAACAGTGTTTTGTCGGGAAGCGCGTGGGTAGGGGTGAGACACCCCATCATTCCTGAGAAGGAAAAATTCATACCACCCTCTGCACAGAGCCTTGGATTTAAACTATTTTTATTTTGTTTGAACCGGGAAGTCATTATATTTTGGGGACACTACCTGAGAGAATGCTTTCAGACACCGACCTTCATTTATAGTAAAATATGGTTGGACAACCTAAAGGAAAAGCCGGGAATGATTAAATTACAGCTTCTACATCAGTAAAAAGCAGCAACTGGACACAATAATTTTGAATAGTTTTTGATGATGTGGAAATGATGTTACAGTTCAGTGTTCAGTGATAAAGTCGAATATAAAATCCCAGGGGAAATGTAACTCCACCGAAGGAGGAAAATATTAAGGAGATACACCCTCACCTTACGTGTCTGCACAATGGGAAAATAATTACTTTGCATCGGTTGTAACATCACACAGTGAAACTAATTAGGCTCTAGAGACATACACTAATTAATGTGCATTAACCTTGCCTACATACTGTTGAATGACAAACATTATGATTTAAATTTTAAAAAGAGAAAATGAAAATCATGTTTTAATTGTACATTTAGTGATACATCCTGAGATGATATATTTATTCATTTTTAAATATTTATATATGCATACAAGAACGGGTGCAGGCCAGAGGTGTGGGGGTGGCGGTGAGAAGATTCACCAGAGACAGTGGGGAGCAGAAAGGGCGGATCTACTGAGATACACTGCTGAGGGGAGCAGGGTGGAGACAGGAGAGGTCGGCTGCGCCATGTGCGAGGAACACAGGGGTCCGATCTCTTTCTGAGAATCCCACTGGGTCTAAAGCGGTTGTTAGGGGACCCCCAGGAGAGCCACAGGCACACAAAATCTGCTCACTGCTGTACAGAGTTCTCTGAGAGAAATCAGCAAAAATAAGGCCACTGTCCACCCACCGGAGCCTCGCCCCGCAGCCCTGTGCTCACATCACCCGGTCCTGCTGGGCCCAGCTGTCTGAGACCACCTGCATCTTCACCCCGGGCTGGACTCGCAACCTGGAGGGGTGACACCACACTGTCGCCTACAGAGCCCACAGGTGATTACCGCCCGCAGTGAGGGGCACCGGGCATCAACAGGCCCCTGAGGGGAGGGGAGGGGAGGGGAGGGCTGCTCTAGCGCGACCCCAGGAGGCGAGCTCAGCCAGGTCGGCTTCCACTCTGCCTTTCACCAGGAGAGAGGGGCTGTTGACCCGGCCCGAGGAGAAGGGCTTTAGGGCCGGGCAGGCTGAGGAGGGGCCATGGCTTTTCCCTGCAGCTGGTGAGCCTCGGTTTCCCGTCTCTGCTGGGGAAAGCCCCCCGCTGCCTGAGACACAGCACTGCTCGCTCCCCGGCCTCTCCCAGCGCCGCGGCTGCCAGAAGCTGAGGACACAAGCTGGGCCGACGGCCCCCCAGGGGCAGTCAGGGACCCAGGCGACGTCAGCAGGTGGCGCCAAGGACTGACAGGAAGCTTGAGGTGCACCGCCCTCCTGTCAGGGACACCTGATAAACACCTGGTGGGGGTTACATAGAAAGTAGCTCGTCCAAGGACTGACCCTTGAGAAAAAGCAGCGGGGTGAACTGGGAGAGGCGGGAGTGCGCGTGTGAGAGAGGCTGGGGGCCTAGGAAGGCTGCTCAGCTTTGATCGTGCACCACAGGCTGGGGGGACTTGGAGGAGAGACATGTAGACATCTGAGAGAGACGTGGGGGAGGGAGGGAGGGAGGGTGATGATGGCTGCCATGATCTCAATTTGTACTTTGATTTTGCTCCCTTCAGCCCAGACTCTCCCGGCCCCTTCTGCCCCACCTCCCTGTGGCTCCCCATCAAAGGTGTCTTAGACTGTGGCAAGCTTTTGGGCCTTAGCAGCCCTGCTTTGGGCTGTTTGGCTAGACACTCCCCCGAGAGGGGCATAGGTAATGGGGTGTTTTATGGGGAACTGCTCTCCTTTCTTCGCCATGCACACTCGTTCTGTTAAAGTGCTTTTACTACTGTATCTCTGTGCGCACAGATGGCTGGGCCCCTTTAGAGAGAGCAGGCTTGGTGGCCCTGGGGTGCCCCTGGGTCCGTGCCTGGCACATACTCTGGTGCCAGCCCACAAACCAGCTCTGCTTACCGAAGCCGGCAGACGATCAGGCGCACGACAGCGCAGGGAGCACTTCTCGGGGAGATGAGATTCTTAAGTGAAGAGCAGGAGAGCTAACCTCATAAATGGGAGCTTATTCTTATGGCCCATGTTTTAACCACAGTCAACTCAAAAGATCACCCTTGAAGAAAAACAGGAAGTGGTGGAGTGATGAGCAGGAATGAAGTGTGGAGCGGAGGTACTTTAAAGGCGGAGGGGCCGGGGAGGGACCAGCCGAGCCATCTGTGAGGCCCAGGGATGTGCCAGAGCCACCACTCAGACGCTGGTGATTATCCTGTGCGCATCCTCCGAAGGCCCAGCGGGGGCTGACTTGAGCTCTTTGGAGCCTCATAAGCAGCTAACTATTTCTGGGGTGCCCTTACTTCAGAAGCTATAAGGTAAAGGTGTGGCCACTACCCTAAGGGGCTCCTAGTCTGTGCTGGGGGAGTCTTTAGGAGGTAAGGCTTCTGCTGTGTTTGGCCAGCAGAAGGGGACGGGGGAGAGGGGAGAGAGAAAGGGCCAATGGGAGAAGCGTCGGGTACTAACAGGTGTGATGAAGAAAGGGTCTGCAAAAGAGTTGAGGTTCCAGAGTTGCTGTTACCTAGTGATCTAGGGGGGTCTCCCTGAGGAGGGATTATCTGACGGGGACCTGAATGAAGTGACACAGTGGGCACTTCCAGCAGTGTGACCATCAGTGCAAAAGCCCTGACACTGAAAATGCGTGTTGTTTCGAGCAGAGTTAACAGGCCGATGTGTGTGGGGGAGGGGGGATTAAAGCTGAAATACTGGCCTGTTGTCATGGTTATGTGGTAACCCACCATAAAAACGCTAACTTCATGTTTCTCTTGGTTTGCCACCACCTGGGAAGCCACCTGCAAGTCTGAGGAAACAGACTGTTCCGCAGCCATGCAGGAAAACAGGCACTGGAGGTGGCAGAAAACAAACAAATAAATATTGCATGGACAGAAAACCTAAGTGAAAGAGTCAAACAGTAAACCCCCCACATTGCAGGCATGTGCATCCACTAAACCATAAGGGCTGTGAAAATGAGGAAGAGTCTCAGAACCAGCTTCAAGTGAGAAGAGTCGGTGAGGAAGGAGTACGGTTTCTCACCCCGCTGGAGCAGGTGTACAAGGTTGCGGTGGGCCTGTGGGTTGGATGATGACATGGGAACCAAGATGATTTACTCTTGGGGGCGATGTGCTGGATCCCTGGAATATTTTGGTTAAATACAAAATGGAATATCGTGACGGCGACACAAGGGAGTGTTTCATGTTAAGCTGAAGGCCGGTACAGGAGCAACCCGAGGACAGGACGAGGAGGGTGTGCCCTGGTGACGAAGCTTCCTGCGCATCCGAACTCACTGTACAGGAGCTTTTGAAACGTCTCTCCAGAAAAACAGACAAGACACTGAAATCCCTTACGGGGCGCGAGCCCCGAGCAGCTCCCACCCACCCGGCGTCGCTGCGGGCGTCTGCGGGCAAGGAAGGTGCGGCGGCTGCTGCTCTCACCTGCGGCGTGAGCGCGCGGGCTCCGGGCGCGCATGCGTGGTGCGGACGCCTGGGTGCGGCGCGGGCCCGCGGGAGTGGGCGCACCTGAGCCCGGAGGCCGAGCAGGTAAGGGCGGCGTCACGGGGTGGGGGCCGCAGAGGGCAGCGCGGTGGAGCGGCTGCGGGAGAGGAAGCAGAACCCCAGAGAGCGCGCAAAGACCGAGTGAGGCTGGGGTGGGTGGGGGGGGGCGGTGCTGGGGGGTCCCCCTGGCCTCCCGGGTCCCCCTGGCCTCCCAGGTGCCCCCGGCCCCGGGGCCTGCCCGCTCTGCTCCAGCCAGAGAGGCAGAGTAAGATTCTCCCGGGGCTGGGAGCCCCCCAGCCTACGCTGCACCTGGCTGCCGCGCTCCAGGTGGTGTAGAAAAACATTAAAAGCCACTGGGGGTCCAGGACGCCCCCGTTACCCGGCTGCCCCGTGCCAGGCAGGATTCAATGCAGGGTGTGGAGCGCTCCAAAGAGCTCGGGAGGGGCTGAGGGTGGCCGGCCTCCCGTCCGGGCGCCTCCGGAGGCCCCGGTGCAGACGGAGAGGACTCTGCGCACGCGGGGAGGGCCTGGACGGACATGGCGCCCGCGCAGGGCAGGGCTGGGGTGAGGGCTCCCTCAGCCCTGCAGATGGAGCCCAGGACAATGCTGGAGGCGCCGTAGCAGCACAGGAGGCAGACAAGGGCCGGGAGCGGCAGGACAGGACCAGACCGTGTGGAGACGGCCACGAGGACCAGCCACTACTGCTGGCGCGGGGGCCTCGCGGGAAGGAAGAGGAGCCGGAGCTCGCCCAGTGCTGGTGCAAGGGGAAAAACCGATGGACTGGGACTAACAATCCCGCCAGAAGGCTGGGGGCTTGGGGAAGGTCATGTTATGCCTGTGGTACCCCGGGGATGGATGGGATCATTTGTACGCCCCAGAAAATGAACATCACGGGGAGACTGATGGGCCTCGGTGGCCTAGGGCCGCCTTGTGTGAGGTGGTCTGCAGCCAGGCGGGAGAGGTCTCAAAAGCCAACTAGCATGAGGCAAAAAGCTGGTGCCCTGTGGTGATGCCCTGTTCACTTCTGAATGAGGGGAGATGCTGAGGAACCGCCCTGGCGTGGGTGGGGAACATGGCTTGTGGTGGAGCCCATAGCCTGGAGGGGGTCCCCCAAGAGAGGCCACATGTGGAGCTTCTATCCCCACGTCCCTGACCCGGGTGCCTGAGTGAAGGGCTGGCCTAGTGCGGGGCCTGCCCATCTCACTGGTGGCCATGAGAGCTGAGTGTCAGAGTGACAGCAGTGAGTGCCCCTGGGGAGTGGGCGGTTACCCCCAAGAGTACTGTGTATCCCAGTCTCAGCAAGGGCATCCTGGGGGTGGATGCGTATGGGGATTCTGGCTGAAACCACAGCCAGAGAAGGCCAGGGAGGGAGGCTGCCGGGCCCTGGCGTGTGCGGCAGCTGCCGTGAATGAAGGGCGGTTCCCTCAATTGAGCAGGGCCCTCAGTGCAAGCTTGATGGATCCCCTGCTGGCGCCAATCACCTTCTTGGCTGTTTGCCGCTAGGTTGGTGCCGCCTGGGCTTACTTGTGTTCTATTGCTGGCTTCAGCTACTTTCTGCTGAAGCTTCGGGTCATGGCTGCACCGTTCACATCCCAAGGGAAGCTGATAGGTAGCCTGTGCGTGATGATGATGACCTGAGGGATGGGGTGTGGGTAAAGGAATATGCTCAGATGTGTGTGTGCCACTGGCCGCTGTGGCTCATCTGAGGCCTTGAAAGCGGAGTTGGGAGAATGAGCTGGGAAGTGCTGCTGGTGGGCACCGGGGGTGTGTGCGCGCATGCGTGAGTGGGTTCACCCGAGCAGACGGTGTAAGGGTGGCCGAACATGACGGGGTGCAGAAGACAATACTGGGTGCACTGGAGAAGTGCTCCATGAGGACAAGCAACTGCTGAGACTGGAAAAGAGCAACAGAACAAAACAGTAAGTATTCACCAGGGACCCGGGGAAAGTGCCCACTTTCTGTTGTATCATAATAAAAAGTTTTTAAGGTTTATTTTTATAGAGGGGCTGGGGTGCAGGAGGGTGAGAGGATTCACCAGGGGCAGCAGGGAGCAGAGCACAATAGAGATGCACTGCTCGCGGGAGCAGTGGGCACGACAGGGGCAGTCTGCATGCCATGTGGGACTCTCCCTGGCCGGGAATCGAACCTGCACCGTCGAGGCTGTGGGCGGCTTCACAGCACGGCGCTCAACCTGCTGCGCCACCGGGGCGGGGGCTCATTAAACGTGCTCTTTGAAAAGACTAGTGTGTCTGTGTGGTGGAGAATCTCACCTGGGAGGGTTACAGGTACTGTGGAAAGGAGCGCTCTGGGGAATGTTTTTTTAACCATACCTTCAGTAGTTTTTTTTAATAAAAGATTCATTTATGCAAGCACTGGGTACAGTCATAGGCACCGGAGGGTGAGAGTTCACCGGGGTGGGGGGCGGGGCAGGCAGGGGGACCGGGGTGCACTGCTGGGGGGAGCGGTGGGCGGCAGGGGGGGTCTGCGCGTGCCACGTGGGGCCCTCCTCTGGTGGCCGGGGGGCAGCCAGTGGTCGAGCCAGCGCTGCTGGGGCTGCGGACAGCTTCGCAACCCAGACGCTCAACCGCTGCACCACCGGGGAGGCCCTGAGGAATGTTTCTAGGGTGAAAATTAGAGTGAGCCCATGGGCCCCAGGTCTTTCCCGGCCAGGGATCGAACCTGCGCCGTCGAGGCTGCGGGCAGCTTCGCAGCATGGCGCTCAGCCCGCTGCGCCATCGGGGGGGCCCCATTAAGTGTGCTCTTTGAAAAGACTAGTGTGTCTGTGTGGTGGAGAATCTCACCTGGGAGGGTTACAGGTACTGTGGAAAGGAGAGCTCTGGGGAATGTTTTTTTAATTTTTTTTTTAACTATACCTTTAGTTGTTTTTTTTTTTTTTAAAGATTTATTTATTTATTTATTTATACAAGCACTGGGTACAGTCAGAAGCGCGGGAGGGTGAGAGAATTCACCAGAGCCAGAGCGGGGAGCAGAGCAGGCAGAAGGACCGAAGCACACTGCTGAGGGGAGCCCCTGGCGGCAGGAGAGGTCCGCGCACCATGTGGGACCCTCCTCCGGTGGCCGGGGAGCAGCCGGGGATCGAACCGGCGCTGCGGAGGCTGCGGGCAGCTTCGCAACCCAGCGCAGTCAACCGCTGCGCCACCGGGGAGGCCCTAAAAATGAATCTTTAAAAAAATAAAAATAAAAACCAATGACTGGAAAGCTGTTTTACACCGGCGCTGGGATAATTATATTCCCGAAGGGGCGGCTTCCAAAGCAAAGCCCCGGTTCAGCGCCGCCCCGATCGCACCCCACGGGCATCGCACAGGCGCACAGCTCGATCCCGGGGTGCGGGCACCAGCCCCAGGGGCCCCGCACTGGCGGGGGAGAAGCCGGGCACCCGCCCCCTGACTTCCAACTGCCGACAGGACACAGTCCTGAAGCCGGAGGGGACGAGGGAATGAAGCGAGGGCTGGGCCCAGGGAGCGCCCGGCAGACTGTGAAAGGAGAGTCCGCGCGCGGCTCCGGCGGGGAGGGGCCCGCGCGGGGTGCGGCCTCCTGCGGGGCGGGCTCTGGCCCGGCCCCCGCACCCCGCGACGTGGGGCCGCCGGGCCTCGGGGCGACAGCGGGGCAGAGACCGGCGTCCCCTCGGGGCGGGCGCCCCGGACAGAACGGGGGGGCTGACCCGGGCGGGGGGGGGGCGCCGGCCCGGAACTCGCTACGGGCTGGCCCCGCGCCCCGAGGCGCGCCCCGCGGGGACCGCCAGGCGGCGGGGCGGAGCGCGCGGAGGGCGCCTCGTGGAGGCGGGCGAGGGGCGGTGCCAGGAGCGCCCCGCCCCCGCGGCCCCGGCCCCGCCCCCCGCGGCCCCGGCCCTGCGCCCCGCCGGCCCCGCCCTTCCCCCCACAGGCCCAACGACGCGCCCCGAGGCCGCCGAGTTTCCCGCCCGCAGCGGCCGCCCACATGGGGACGCCCTCGGCTCACCTCCTCCTCGCTCTGGGCCCAAGGAGGGCCCCACATCAGAGCACAAAAGACGCTTTTCCCCCGCGGGCTCCGGGAGCGGCCATTTCCCCGCCCGCACCCAGGCGCCCACTCTGTGGGCGGGGCCTGCGCGGGGCCGCGGCGGGGGCTGGGCTTCGCGCATGCGCGGCTACAGGACCGGCCGGCGGTGGGTGGGCGTGGCCGGAGCGGATGGGCGTGGCCTGGCCGCCCCGTGCGCTCTGGTGGCCACGCCCACCCGCAGTCCCGTTGCAGCCTGACAGTTCGGTAACCCCAACTGCAAGGGGGCAATTATCTCAGATCTCCAAAAATGGAGTCCATGAAAATTCCAGGAAGCCACTCACCTGGCAGCACGGGTCTACTTGGGTTGAAACATTTGCTCGGGATTATTCAGCAATGACCACGGATGAGTCTAATATCACGGCCCTCGCCCGGGGTGACCTTGGAGGGTGTGGGATTCGCCGTGCACCGCGCGCCTCGCCCCGGCCCCGTCCTCACCCCCTCCTCCGGGCCACCACCCTCTCCGCTGGGCCCACAGTACCCGCCCTCGCCACTAGGTGGTGCGCTCCGTCTTTCCTCTGCCCTTCACCCACCCTCTAAGTGCCGAGTCTCATTTATGGATCTGCTGTAACTTCCTTCCCCATTCCCTGGGGTTTTCATTCAGATTGTTTCCAATTATTTGGTACTATAAAGAAAGTGCTGGTGAACATTTTTACACGTAAAGATTTTATCTATATTTCACAGCATTTCCTTAGGTCTTTCCCCCCAAAATAGAACGACTATATGAAGCAGTGTAAATATTCTAAATTCGCAGCTCTCTGCAGAAGGATGGTACAAATTTATTCTTTCCTCAGGAATGAAAGAGAGTACATAATTTCACCACACCTTTGCCAACATTTCACTCTATCAAGGGTTTTAATACAAAGTTCATTAGAACCAAGTCCACAAAAAGTTTTATTATGTGTAAGAAATATTACATTATTATTATTATGTGTAAGAAATATTATGTGTAAGAAATATGTGTAAGAAATATTATGTGTAACATAATAAGGGTCTAACTACTTTAGACCCTCAAAAATAAGCAGCGTTAGCTCAGTGGTACTAATAAATGAAAAAAATTAAAACACCCTGAGATTTTACAAGGGAAAATAGGAGCGAAAAGGAATAAATCTGGAGTAGAGTGATCAGATGCTCTCCAGCTACACCTCTTCTGATCACACGATGAGATCACTGGTCTCCATGGCAGTGGTGCCTGATGGAGTTCTAACCACCTGAACCAGGTCAGGAAGAGGAGTCTGCTAATAAAACCTCCCACACCTCATCCTGTTTTCTACTTCCCCATCCTTTGGCTGCATGCAGATGACTCCATGGACAGAGGAGGACAAAATCACCACAATGTAGAGCCATAGTACCCACGTGACCACATGGATGCCACCCAGCCAGAAAGACACTGAAATGAAGGGGTGGATTTTAGAGGATGAAGCATCTGGAATTGCAGGTTTCATATGTTACAGCAGCTGGGTTCAGTTACTGTGAGCATTACAAATGATTTCTTGAATAATAACTACATCTTGGATACCCTGTCAAATATGTTATCTTTTCTTATTTAGTCCCTACACCCAGTCTGTGCTAGTCTTATTAATACCACCTTAAAGAAAGTGATTTGCCCAACATGTAAATTCTTCCGAAGTTGAGATTACTGATCTCCATAGAGATGATTCTTAATAACAACTGTTGTCTGAAACTTCTGGAAGTTCTTATGAACACAAAGCTCCACTTGGCTCTAGACAACATCTCCAGTCTCACTGCTACATTTTTCTTAAACAAAGAGAAACGGAAAATCCATGACATGTGGCTTCTGTCAATTGCTCAGTTTGTTTGCCACACTGTGTTCTGCTTGTCGGTAAAAGCACTCATTATATAAAAGAGAAAGATAATTATATTTGAAAAAGAGCACCTAAATCTACTCCTTCACAGTATAACAGTGTGATCTACACCGAAAGGAGAAAAGAGGAAGAACTGGAGGAGGTACATGGCGCAGAGAGACATGTGAAGAAGCTGCTCTTCCTTCCCAGCCTTGGACTCACACCAGGGACTTGGGGGACATGGAAATAGATTGGGAAAGAGGCCCATGGGGAGCCTGGCAATGGCAACCTTTACTTTGACTTGGATTTTGATTTTGCTCTTGTCCTTCCAGACTTGCCTGGCTACTTCTGCCATTCCCGTGGGTCCCCACCAGGAGGCGCCTTAGACTTGTGGTCAGATTTTAGGCCTTCCTTATCATGCTTTGCGCCAACCTTGTGTGGCTGGGCATTTTCCCACGAGGGTATGGATAACTTTGGTTGCTTTCGTGGAAACTATTTTATATTCTTCTCTACTCTTCTACTGATTGCTCACAAATTATTGCACATGAATTCTATTAAAGTGCTTTTCTATAGAAGGCCTTAAGCACTAGAGTATGTTTGGTCTTGAGGGGGCAGATAGCAGAACCCATTTAGAGCAAACAAGTTTGGGGTTGTGGGGTGCCCCTCATTCTCCCTGTTCACAATCATGTCCCTGACCACCCAGTGAAAACAGTTAAAAATAAGACAAAGGAGAATTTTTCCTCCTTACTCTGCCCAGAAGATGCAACATTTTCTAATTTGTACAAAGGCAAAATACCATGAGCTGGCAGCAGTTCTGGAACAAAAAGTAGCCAAGAGTGAAGCCCCCAAATAGGAGTAAAGACAATAAGGAAAGAGAAGTTAACAGTGTCCATTGATGTAAAATAAATTGGAATTACATCCTTCAACTTGCCTATCTTGTTTAAATAGTATAATTATATAGTTAGGTTTTATAAGTTCCTGGAGGGGTTCTGTGTATCTTGAGAATTGATCTCCACAGCTCTTAGTACAGTATCT